ATTTTGCTAATTTTTCATATAACCACTAAAACAATACTAGAAATACATTAAATGATGCTAATAAACATAGAAATTCCTTCTTAAAGTAAGAAAATAAACATTTTATTGCCCAAAATGCAATAAGATCGCATTCCGGTAGTGAACGCTTGATCATTTGTAGCAAAGGAAGCATCTGCAGCTAAAAATAATGCTTCTAACATCAACATGTGAAAAGTTCAGCCTGTTCGGCTTGACCTAACAGTGGGGATAAAAGGTGCTTAATAGATGTTTTTCTAACAGAATTCTAGCCAGATGAAGTTAAAACTATCCTGCTTCAGGAGTTCTGGGTAGAACATGTTTACATACGAAGGCTTTTTTTTAAGTCTTAAATTCCAAATGCATATATATTTTTTTAATATAAATGTGTCTTATTTACTGCTTTGAGCGTGGTGTTCTTTCAGCAAATTAGCTTTTTTTTAAAAGTCTGAACACTCCAGATAACTACTAATCAATTACTCAGTTGACGATTATTTCAATAATCGGTTATTCGCAATTAATCTGATTAATCGTTTCAACCCTAATGTGTGTGTATATGTCTTTTTGCATGCCTCCTCAAAGACGGCGCTTACAACATGCGACTTTAACATTCAGTCCAGCCAATCAGAAATAGTCTCCTCTTGTCTGATTATGCTGTAAACTCCACGTGCCATTTTTAAAATTGTTTTTGTTTTTCCACTTCCCACTTCCTCGTTGTCCCCTCCAACCTTCCAACACCCAAAAAAAAAAAACTTCTAACATCTCATCCGTTACTCTGAGTCGGCTCGGAACACACGACCGCTTTTAAATGATGCGCTTTTACAACCGACTTGATTTGCATGAGCCGTTGTTATGGGCGTGTTTTCCTTTGTGTGCAACTTCAGCTTTGTCAGTTCCTACTGCCACAGCAGAGTCTGCAGGTGTTGTTCAGGATGAAGGAACTTCTGGGTCTGTAGGGGTGAGTATCCTGAGTCAGGACGGAGGTTTTAACGTGACAGATGTAGCCGTCCGCCTCCCTGACCCCGAGGATTACCGGGGCCGGTTGCCGATGATGATTCTTTCAGTCCAGCCCTCGGTTAGTGATGCTTGAAAGTGTCGGGTCAGGTGATTTGCTGGATACCGTGGAGCCCACACTGCCACCAGAGAGGCTGGAGGAAAAGGGGAGAGAGAGAGAGATTTACTGAAGCAGACTGAGCCGCAGCTTGCTAGCATAGCTCATTCTGAAATGTAGCTGTAGTTTTCCTCCCCATAATCATTGCATTGGATTTTTTTTTCAGGGCCTCTCATTCGCAGTCATAGATCGATGTAATTGGGGTTGTAAATCACAGCTGCGGAGCCCTCCGTGCCGATGCCAATGTTGGAAGTCATTTGCAGCTGCTTCGCCTGTAAATCTGCCCCAGAGGCCGGCGATAACTCAGCTGACTAAACACTGTGCAGAACCCAGCTTTGTGTATATGTGTGTGTGTGTGTGTGTGTGTGTGTGTGTGTGTGTGTGTGAGACAACAGGTGCATGCATTCATTTCAGTGTGCTGCAGGAATTGTACATCTCCAGAAAGACCTGATGAATAGTTCGGTGAGACCTGGAGGAGTGTGTTTACATGTCGGGTTTCGTGTATTTCTGTGCAGCTACAGCTTAGAAGGGCTCAGTGGGATCCAGGAAGAGCTAAGGGGCTCCACCATCCAGGAGCCCCGCGACCTGGAGCGCTCCAGGATGCCCCGGCACAACAGCGACGACAGGGGCTCCCTGGTGTCTCTGACGGAAGAGCAGGAGGAGCGGGAGGAGGACAGCAGGCTGCAGGAACAGGTTGGTGCAGAAACACACACACATGCATACACACATGACTTGCATAATGGTGTCCAAACTGCAGCACCTGGACTGATTCTGTGTGGCCCACAACTCCCAGTTCAACTTTTTATTGAAAGAAAGTGTTAATACAAAGTTTTGGCTACTGCACAAAGCACTTCTATCCAACAGGCTTTGATGCTTTTAATGAATTTATCAAACTCTGCTACATACTTCTCAGTAAAAGTGACCTAAATCAGATTTTTTTATTACTCAAAACTGACAACAAAATGCGTCATTATGTTCTAGAGATGCAGCGATCCGATCTTTATATCTGGATCAGTCGCAATGTTGAAAACAATTCTAGATGGGGTATTGATGACACATGTCCCTTAAGGGGAGATCTATTCATCCTAATTCTATGCTCTGTGCTCTGAGTGACGCCGTTTTATTATTTATTTTACATTAAATTTAGAATTTTTAATTACACTTTCTGAACCATTTGAAAGAAGATTTGTTGCAGTTCATTTATTTCACCAAACTAACTTATTTTTTTTAGTCCATTTAAGTTTCTTTATTAATTATTCTATATTGGGTGTTCTTCTCCTAATTGTGTTATTTTTACATGTGTGACCAAACTTGTGAAGTTATCGGTGTGTTTAAGTGAGCTGTGCTGGTGGACATTTTGGATCTACACTAATTTATATCCTACTTTACTCATTTAAACTATTGCTACTTAGTTGATTATTGAGTAGGTTAGAAAAGGTAACTTTTTTTGCTTCCTTTTTAGCCTTTTCTTTTGTCTTTTGACCTGATGATTTTTACTTATGCGACAAAATGTTTGGACACTCCTGACTCAGACTTTTGTAATACAAACTTCATGAAATTCATCGGAACAGATAAAGATTTTCTAAACAAGGCGGGGAAACGTCACTTTGGGTATTAGTGAGAACTACTCATCGTCATTGTCCTCTGGTTGTTTGATTCCTCCTCACTTAGTGACTTTTAAGCAAATCATGAACATAACCACCACAAATCAAACATCGAGTTTCCCCTTTTAGTTTATTGTTCCTGTTTCCAGTTTACCTGCCTCTGTTTGCATCCTCTCTGACATTGTCGCGCCGCCGTTCTGATGGACACTTTGTATTTCACGACGCAGAAATTGCGGCGGTATCGGCCGCTGAGGAACAGCTGTCCCTCCATGACCCTTCCACTCACCAAGTCTGTTTCCATGGTCACCATCAGCCATAAAGACAGTGATGGTGAGTGTTTCTCCTCACGTTGGGTTCACACTTGAGTTATGATTTCTTTGGCCTTTCTTTAAATTTTCAGCCTCTTTTCTTTCTATAGGTTGATTTCTTTTTTCTTTGTATTTTCATCATTTAAAGACAGTGTGACACCCTGTGTCTTTAAATCACTAAGTATTTTGTTTTGAAAATCACTTCCTATATCACGGACCCTAAGACTTGCCCACATTTTCTCTGTTTAAAACTGCAAACTTTTATTTAGTAGATCAACACGAAGTAGAACACAACTGAAGTGGCAGGAGACATGATACAAGTTTAGATGTTTTACAAATAAAAGTATCTATTTGTTTGTGTTCATCAACTCTGACATGAATTTCTGCCAGTTAATATTAAATTCAGCCATCGTGGATGAAGATTGACCATAAACTGAACATTTCAAGTCCTTTCATGCATTTATAATTGAATTTAGGTCTCGACCACAGCATCATGCTGCTGCCGCCATATTTCACAGTGGATATGTTGTGTTGCATTTAGGATGTGACAGACTTTTTTTCACAGTTTGGTTGGCCTGCATTTTATTTAGATGTTAGAGTGAAGCTGACTTAATACTGGCATACAGTGGAAACACAGGATTTACATATACAGATATACACATTTTTTTCAAGCTGAACAAAGTTCAATCAGACCAAACGTCTCTGGTTTTAGGTCACTTAGACTTACCAAAATTATTTCCATTTGCTAAATGCCACACTATTAAGGGCAAAATATGTCTCAGATGTATTTATTAATGTCTTCAAAATTAGAAGTTTACATTCAGAATAAATCCCCTGAAACAACGAGGGAAAGCCCAGAAGATGATGTCATGACGTTGGAAACTTCTGATATGTTGGCTGACACATTTGCGTTAATTAGAGGCACACCTGTGGCAACATCTAAAGACATAAACCAGGCAGTAAAACTTTGGCATAAATGGGTCTTCCAAATGGACAACAACCTTAAGCTGTAAAGCCAAAGTGGCTTAAAGACGACAAAGTCAATGTTTTGGTGTGGCCATCAAACCAGTGCAAAGATACAGTTCAAAGACAACGCTACCAAATACTGAGGGAATGTGTGTAAACATTTTGCTTCTGGCATTTAGCAAGTAGAAATAGTTTTGGTATATCTGCATGACCCAAATTTTGTTGTCAGGGTTCAGTTTCAGCTGTCAAGTCCCCCAAAAAATATATAAAATTTTGTGGATGTAAGGTGAAAAAGGCGTAGGAGAAAAACCCAGGAGACGAGACACTTTACTTAGAAACGAACCAAAATTGACTTCATATCTAGTTTACCAACACTTGGGTGTATTCCTGAAATAAGAACCACCAAGAATACACCGACTTATTAGCGGTACCACAGTTACACGCTTTGAGCAAATGACGAGTGCTTGTTGTGGTTCCTCCCTCGTTGCTGCCGCCCCTGCGCCTCCCAGCGGTGGGACGCCTGAGACGCAAGAGGCGCATTTCCTTCTCTTTCAACCTGTCCCCCATCCTCACCAAATCTAAGACTCAGTTCATTTACGGGGACTCTTCGTCAAGTGACGATGAAGAGGAGGAGGCGGATGACTCGAGTGAGTACCAGACGGCAAAGGTGGCTGTAGTAGAAACTAGATTTTTTTTAAACCCACAGCAGTCGCGGTTCCCAGTAGAGCTCTAGAAACCCGCCTCCTCCTCTCTGTTCAAACGCTGGCTACACCCGAGTGTAATGAACCATGATTAAAACTGCTGTTCCCACCTGTGCAGGTGTGGGGTGAGGGAGGCTTCTCCTTTCTAAAGGAGTCATAAAACTGTCTGGCATTAAGAGAGGCTGAAAAAAACAAACAAACAAAAAAAAACAATTTTAATATAAACCTGAGTTCAGTCCTCTGGGTTTTCATCATTTTCCTGTCCAGTGTAGGATTGGCTCCTCTAAAACAATGCTGAAGGCAACATGGCAGCTGATTGAGCTGCAGCACCAACCATCAGTCAAAAGGAGAATACTAATTACTACTCATATAAATCTACTGATCGATCCTTGAAGGGAGGAGGAAGAAAAGCAAACCTGCTCCTTTGTGAACTGTGTGCTGAATTCATTATGCTGATAAATTCTGTTTGGCCGTGTTGAATTGGACCTCGGCTGCTTCTGTCACATGCAGACAGTGGCAGCATGACCTTTCCGTGAATTGGCCTTTGGTGTCGTCTTTTTTCTGAGAAAAACAAAAAAAAAAGAAACTGGAGCAATATCACGAGATAGAAGAGGAAAAGCACCGTCAGAGGTGCTGCAGGTTATCTGAGGATACATGTGGGCCTGTCTTCTTCAGACCAAACCTTCACCTCTCTCCTCTACTCTCTTTCTGTTGCTGTTTTCTGTTTCATTTTGCTTACATTGTCCTTTGTGGGTTTTCACGCACTTCACAAAACTGAGAAGAATGTTTATTTTTGAGAGAAGCTGAATGTTCCTCATTTAAAAATGACTGGAATAATTGACTTAAAGCCGTTTGCAATTGCATGGATTTCTTCATATACAGACATATATATATTGACATACATGACATACGTTGTTTTATTAAGCAGATTTATTTTTCTGAATCGTCAAATCGTGGTTAATGCAAAATAACAGCTTTTCAGATGTTAATTCTTAACATGTTTTTTTTTTTACAACATTGAATAAATGTCAAATGAAAAGTTTGTGAAATTACACCACTGCAATAAAAAGTGGACATTTTTCCAGACTGCAAGTTTTCAACAGCGGCGACAAATTTAGTAAAACTGCAGACGGCTGGAACCCTGTGTGACGATCTGAACCGTCAACAATGAATCTTCAATATTTAAAGTGTTTCAAATGCATTTTTGAAGCCGCTCCTCTCAAGCAGCCGGAGACTTTTTGGAGCCGACGGCCCTTTGGGACCGAGTGTCGCTGAACTGAAAGGCAGACTGCCTGCAGCTCTCGGCCTCGGCCTCTCCATTAGCGCGTTGCCCTCGCTCTGCAGGGGGTTCCTCAGGGCTAAGCAGCTCACTTTCAAGCATTAGAAGTAGCTCGGTCCGTGTCCCGGCCAAATCCTCGCAGCCAGGACTTGACCTGACAACCTTCAGCTCCAGTGAATATAAAATGTTTTACTAGTGAGCCAGTATACTCAACAAAAGGTCAATCCTGCTCTGTCCTGCTCACCTTTTTACCACCCGACATGACAAAAAAAATATAATAATTTCAAATAATGAATAAAAAAGTTCTGCTCCTCACTTGCTGCCTTTTCTCCTTCCAGGCTTGAGGTTGTTTTCCCACCCCTCCGGGTCGGTAGCTTACAGGTTAGTTCACACACATTATGAACAAATCCTTCTTTTGGTTTTATTTTTTAATTTTTCGTCTACACCCACGACGGCCTTTATGGTTCCCGTAAAGAGGAGTCGAGGAGAAGCGGCCGGCTGGACCTTTATGGCGTTGTAAAGACGCGTCTTGAGTGAATGTGTGAGCCGGCATGTTGCGCAGGCTGCAAAGTAACGCTGGCCTGCATTTCAGTATATCGGAGGAAGAGCCGGGGCCTTTGCGGAGCGACATGGAGGGCAGGAACACGACCAAAGTCAGCCGGACCTTCAGCTACCTCAAGAACAAGATGTACAAAAAGACGCGGGTAAGCGAAATGACTGCCTCGCCGCGTGTGGATGACCTATTTTTAGTGTGTGTGTTTGGGTAGACCGTAGCCACCTCTTCACATAAACATCCCTTTTAAGCAGAGAGCGAGGGAGCAGCAGGTTGCTTTTCAGGCTCCGCTGCGGTGCGTCCACATTCACCCAGGGATCTGCTTCCTCTTCTGAACAGCTGGTGGTTACGTGTCGCGCTTCAGGGCTTGTAACTTCCTCCTGTTCACACTTCCCCAGCAGGCGCTGCTTTTGGAGTTCACTATTCATTTTGTGGTCCCGAATATACAAGTCTCTGAATGGAGATGAGCTCTGGGTTACCTTTCTTTTGCCTTGGGGAGAAATAACTTTCCAAGGCATGATGAGTAGCATTTTAGTCACACCACAGTCATAAACTGAACTGTATTTTATTGGGATTTTATGTGATGGAAAGACACAAAGTAGGACACAACTTGTCAACTTCTGTCTCCACAGATGTAAAAAATATGTATAAAAATTCTTTGACCCCGGAGGATTGAATACATTTTCTTGACACACTTTTCAGATTTTTGTTTGTAACAAACCAAAATAACAAAAAACAAAGTTGATAACCATTCGCTTCCTCTTCACAAATATGCAGTACTTTGTTTTGGTCTATTTAGAAAACGGAAAATAATTCATTAAATCTGGAAATTGTAAACATCACAGAAAAAAAATTAAGATTTTGGGAATGTTTCTCAAACTGTGGAATGTTTTTGAGGAAATCAAATGATATTTATTGACACGTTTTAATATTTTCTAATCAGTAATCTTATTTTTTTTGTTGGGGGGGAGGGGGGATCAAATATGTTTTGATGCATTTGTCCTGCTTCTGTCATCATTTCTCACATGGCTCTCATTGAATCACATAGGAGGGATGACAAACCATGGATGACCTCATGGTGTGTCCTTGTTACACAGAATGAGAATTATCAGCAAAGCGTTCATATCCTCAACAGGAAGTGGGCTTTCCTGCCTCTTACAATGCACAAATTTGAAAATGATTCAATTATAAATAATTCTAACCCACACAATTCCTATTACCCGTATCTCGGCGGCGCTGACGTCACCCGCGGGTTCGGATGTGGCGTTCTGATGAACTCCGATCAGATTGGTTTTATTTTTTTCACAACAGGAAAACCAGAGAGTTTTTAGCAATCTCTGCCTCCGTGTTTCTGTAAAGCCGCCCGCTCCCCCATGTACCGAGACGCCGACGGGTGAACAGGAAGTAAAACAGGAAGACAAAAACTTGCTGTAATGTTTTCCAACCTCTCAATTGCATTTTGCTGTTAAAGTGACAGGACCCCAAAAGGTGCCGCCTCAGCCTGTGGTTGGGATGAAAACAAATCATCCACAAACCAAAATTGTACTTTAATTTCGTTTCAACTCGGTGCTGTTGTGACGATTATTGTGACGATTCTGCCAAACCCCGTTGAGTTGCGGTCAGTCTTTACCAGGTTTAAAACCCTTAGAGCCTCTCTCGGCTCTGCTCTTCTGCACGAACACCGAAAGTGAGAACGTCGGTGGAAGAGGATGTAGTCGCTGCAGTCTGCAACAGCGTCCGCTCCGCACTGACGGCTCGTTTTGCAGAAATAGCACCTCCTGCTGCGCGGCAGTCACTTCCTCTTTGCCCAAGTTCCTGATGGAGCCTCGGCTCTGCCGGCTGTAGACTGTGCCCCTCGGGCCGCAGACCAGGGATGTTGTACGGGAGGTTCTCGGGGAGCCGCGGCTTCTCGCTGAGAAGGAAAGGTTGCCTGGAGGTAGGCTGAGAGGACCGCTCTGCTTTTCCAGTCACATCGCAGTAAAAGAAAAAAAAAGAGAGAGAGAGAAAGCTTAGTGGTTGTCAGAAGATCATGTTTAAAGAGTTCTGTTCTGTGGCGGCTTGTCTTTTCGTCTTTATTTTCCAGTGAAGTCATAGTCTGTTAGACTTTCTTACACTAGAATGTCTCTTTGTTTTCAATCTGTGCTGTAGACGTCACAGGCTGTTATGTATCCTGAGGAGGTTTCTTGTAGCCAAAAAACTTCTCGCATTCCCTCTCTTTTTTTATTAGATTTCTCTGCTTCAGCAAATAGATTTTTTTGTGTGAATTTTCTCATCAAAAAGGGGTTTCCAAATGCTTGAAAGCTACCGTTTTTGGAAGTCATGGAAATCTGAGAGAGCGTTTTAGTTCCGATCTGACAGTTGTTGTTGCAGAAAGTGAGACTTGAAGACAGTTGTGTTGCAACGGCTCCGAAACACGCCGTGGCTCATTTAGCCTCTCTGGCATCTTTAAAAACCGAGCGAAAATTAGCCCGGCTACGTCGGAGCTCTGTGGTCCTCGCAAACCGAGAAAGAGGCCTCAGGGCTGGCCCATTAAAAACGAGCTGGAAAACTCCATTTTCCCCATTTCCTCTGGGTTTGGGTGGAGACTCTGTGATGCAAATCCAAAAGAATGAAGGCTCTGTTCTTTTCTGCATCACTTTATGGGATTGTGATTCAGTTTCGGTGTGTGTGCGCGTGTGTGTGTGAATGGGGCTGCTTGAGGATGAGCTTGTCCATCAGCGGAGGGGAGCAGCAGAAAGAGGCAACCCTGTTGTGGAGAAGGTCAGAGATGTCTGGGAGGCTACATCAAAGCTCCTCAAATCCAATGGATCCGTCTCCTCCTTGTTCACTCTTTCACTTTTTGTTATTTTTTTTGTTTTGTTTTGTTTTGGTACCATTTTGTGATCATCTCTCGGCCTGCCACCATAACAAACTTTTGCTGGACGATGAATTGTCCCAGAAGTTATTGCGATAAACCATGATATCGTTGTTTTTGAGACCATTTTCAAGTAAAATGATGGTGATGGCTTTCTCAATGATCAATACACTTTCATTTCTAATTGGCATATAAGAAGAAATTTTAAATATTCCAAATAAATAAGCAAAACAACAGAAACGACACATGCAGATAAAATTGTCCTTCAAAATAAGAGCTCGTTAAGATCAAGTCACCAGACTCGAGACGTTTTTCATTCAGTTTTTGGTAGAAAGAGATAAGAGAAGAAAAAAAACCCGATAAATCACGCAAATGGAAATGTGTGAGCTCATTTTAATTCGTCATGCGATTAATTGATTTATTGCTTATTGCGACAGACCCACTGCAGACGACACAGCCCATTGGACTTGCAGCTCTGAATGGACCACTGGACTATACAGATGTTTATTGGAATTGATTTTCCTTCCTCTTTAAAATTTTTAGCCACTTTTAGCGGTTATACCATGACAAAAGGTGAAAACGTGCGAGCTCTTTTGCAACGATATATAAATATGACTTTTCTATTATTTATCTAACCCTAAATGATGACCAAAATAAAAAATAAAAATTGTCTATAACAATAGTCATAGTTGTGTATTTACATTTCCTAGATATTAAACACTGACGTATAGAAACAATTTACAAAAAAAAGAGTTATTTTAAAAGTTCTTTAATAAGACACTTTGTTGACTACATAAAAATTGCATCACTTAATATCCATCCTCCCTCTGCCTGCCTCCCCCCCTGCTGGGAAGCACATCAGAGCAATCATGTTGCTCCGTGGGGTTTAGATTGAAATTTAACATAAGCCACCGACCAACCAGTGAAACATTTTGTCAGCGTCTGGCGCGCGAGTCCTCTCCGAGAGCAACCCAGGCTTCACTCGGAGTCTCATTCTTCCCTCAAATTTCCAATTTGCCGGTGAAAGTGTTCCCAGTTAATTGTGGAAGCGAAGTCAGAGATGAGTCACGTTAATAACTCCAGCAACTTTCCTCCCTCAGGAAAAAGACAGAGACAAAAGGGACAAAGACAAAGAAAGCAAGGAGAAGGACAAGAAGGCCGTGAACGGACACATTTTCACGCCTGTCAGCTCAAACCAGTTCCTCCAGTGCTCCCAGTGCAATAAAGCTTTTAATGGCAAAGAGGCATTCTGTTGTACATGTAAGTACCTTTTCTGTCTGTTTTGCTGATTTAATGACGTGATGTTTTTTTGTTTTTTTTTTTTTGTTTTTTTTGTGATGTCAGTCTTGTGCTGTTTATTGCTGGAAATCTTTGATCTATTCAGGAATCAGATTCTATTTTCTGAATTAACTGTTTCAACACTAAGAAGTCCCACTATTCCCAGTCCGCAACTGAATTTTGTTTCAAAAATCAGACAAAAGTTATGGACATATAGTGCTTCAGTTCAAAGTGGAAAAAGTTGGAGTGGTCTAGTCAAAGTCAAACTTGAGTGTAAGTGACATCTTGATGCACATCCATCAAGATGTCACTTACACTTTTTCAGGCATTTAATGCCTGAAAACGCTCAAATATTTCAGATTTAAAGCAGGTGTGGACAGAAAAGAGGGGTGAGAATTCCCTTGTTCATTGACTGTAGATACACAAACTCTTGATGGCAACATATGATCAGTGCAGCTCAGTTTATCATAACTGATTTTTTAAATGAAATCAGCAACTAGTTAGTTGCTGTTGCCCCCTACTTAGCTATCTGCAATGTACCATCATTAAATGTGCAGTAGAAAAAACCAGCCGAACAGTGAGCCGGTCCTCGTCATTAAATCCTGCCCACAACGCCAAACGACTGATATAACGACGCTATTGCTATCTGTGTTTGTATCACTGGGCAAAGCTATCAGCGTGAGTAACATGTTGCTCCGTTTGTCTTACGGTGGCCATTCTTAGCATCCTTCTTGCATCTCATTGTTGTGCTTTGCCAAATCGCTGCTGTAGCTGCACACTCGTCTCCTGGAGGACTACTTCATAATCGGCCCCATCAGGGTGTCGGCACAGAAAACAAAGCCATTTTTAATTTTGCTTTTCACTGGAGAACCAGAAGAGGATGTAGCTTATTGCACAAGAGGGGAGGGGGGAGGGAAAGCAAAAAAGCTCAAAAGGAGAAACGAGCTCTGCGATGGATTACAGCCATCTTCTGAATGGTCACATTCTGCCTCAGATACTCAGCTGACAAGAAACAGCCCTTTTTGTTTTGCATGCAGTCTGCTGCAGAGCCTTGTGAGGCAGATTTTTTTCAGGAGGTTTATACTCGCAGATGTCTGGCTGGTTTCCATCCAGCAGACAAATACAGTGTTTCTTTGTCTCCTGTTTTCTGGATCTGCTTAGACGTCCACATGAAAAAACAAAACAAAACAAAAAAAACACCCAATAATGTTGTAAGTTAGAAAAGGAACAATCGGAACCAGCCACTGATGGCGTCGTTGCCTTTCTTTTACATTCACGTCTTTATTATCTTCTCACCCTCAGTGAGAGCATTTGTTTACTGATGTAATCCTCAGAGCGGAAACGTTGCATGCGCCCCGCGAGGATGACGATGCTCCGGCGGGGGTGTGGGGTTAAGTTGCGCAACACCTCTGATGAAGTCTTCAGTGGAAATGCTTCGGTGTGAAAATTAGCAGGACTGGCGAACCAATCAGAACCTCGCACGAGTTCCCCAAGAACACAGGCAAAAGTGACTGAACTGGTTCAGGTTACGCTGGCAGGGCTTATTTTAGCAGCCATGAATTATGACTTTTGTGACTAAATGATGGATATGGGAATGTTTACATAATTGAGATTTTCCCATGCAGTGCAGTATACATGTGTGTGCGTCAAAGCCCATCCTTTTTTTTTTCTTTCTTTTTCCAAGAGCAGTATTGCCCCTCAGTTGCATCACACACACCGCTCCAGTCTGGCTTTCATTAGCGGGCTGGTGGAGTTTCCTGGCTGACTGTGAACACCAGTCAGAATTTCTTGCTCCCATTTCCCCCCCGCCCCCTCTTCCCTACACACACATGCACACACACACAATCACCAAGCTCACTATGTTGCTTTTCTTTCCAGACTGTAATGCATCCGTCCACAAGGGCTGCAGGGACAGCATGCCTGTTTGTGCCAACGTGAAGATGAAGGTAAAACTTTTTTTTCCCCTGCCGGTTCTCCTCCACTGACCCTGTAGCATTGTGTTGTCCTGCAGCCAAAATCGATTTTTTTTCTTCTTTTTCCCTTTCGTTTCCATGCTTTTATCCCCCGTTTCTCTGTTTAGTTGCCCAAACAGCAGTTTACAGTGCCAGATTCCAGCGCACCATGCTCTGTTCCTGGCGTCACAATGAGGAACAAAGGTGAGTGTCAAACTAAACTGGACTTGAATGAATAATCATCGCCGTCAGTTATGGGTTTTTTTTTTTTTTTTTTTTTTTTTTTTTTTTTTGCACAGTGCAAAGTTGGCGGAGAATCCTATACGTTTCCAATAAAGGGAAATAACGTAATAGCAGAAGTGAGCTTTAGCACTTTCGTTTAGCTGTTTTGTCTGCACTGCGCTTCGGATGCTTCTGATAGACTTCCACAAAAGCAGGATATGAGCTTTGCACACATTTCTGGGAAATTTTTTCTTCAGATTTTTCTTTCGCATTCATTTTTGCTATATTGAATGTATGTTTTCTTATGCATCAGCATTATGAATGGGCACCATGGATATAAAACTCCCACCTGGTAAATAATAGTAAATATCAAAGTATTTGTGCAAAAATGTAAAACAAAATCTAATCCGATATTTCTTCTGTGCATTATTAATTCAACAATTATGCACCCACTGTTAGAAAACAACCATGTTATAATTTAATGTTTTTTTGTTTTGTTTTTATTGATTATTATTATCATGTCTTTTTATGACTTGAAATATTTCCAAATAGGTGAATTTGGCTTTCTTTTAAGTGAGACAAAGGTTTGCTGTTGGACTTTGTTGTGTTGCATTGAGGTTGAAAACGCAGAGATGAGCCACGGTGACCTGCAGATCAGCTGAGGCTTCTGAGCTTCAGCTCATAATATTCTGTCCATATTTTATGACACCAAAAGTCTGAATTAGTCGTCAACATTTTGTCACATTACAACCTAAAACTTCTCTGTTTTTTTTTTTTGGGTGTGGGGGGTTTCTGTCAGTACAAAGTAGTGCAGATTCGTGAAGTAGAAGGAAAATAATTGCTTTTAAAATATTCTCGTGCAGAAAAAGAAAGTCAGAAAAGTTTATTGTTTGTTCTGATACAACAAGTCAATACCAGTAGGACCACCACCTGATGTCTTTTTCAGACATGTTTATGTCTCCTTTGCTCATCTTGGCTGAAATTTGTGTCAGTTCTTTGCAAAATTGCTAAATCTGAGACAAACTTGATGATATACAGTTTTACGCAATATATTAGAATAAACTTCAAAAGAGGCTCATTCAACAGATTGAAAGTACCTTTTGAAAATAACATTTCAAACGCATTCTTCATTAGGTCTACATTTCTGTATGGAAATGGATTTATTTTTGTTGGTCTGATTTAACTTTCAGACAATTATGATGCGTAACCATGGCAGCCAAGTATTGTTTTCCCAACTGAGATCAGCTGATTAGCATCTAAGAAGCTCACATAATACCTGAACTTTGACCCTAAATCCCTGAGCAGTTGAAAAGGGAGGCTTCATGGATGCAGAGAGAGAAGGGAGTTCAAACCATCTCTGTCCCACACCGCAAATAAAAGTCTTTAGTCAGAGGCTTCCTCAGAATCGCTGCAAGACTGACCGCTACCAGAGATCCTTCCTGCCCGCAGCATCACCATCCACAGCGACTCTCTGTAGATTCTCGGATGACACAAGTTACGACGACGTTTAATTTCCCTTTGGGATGTTTTAAAATCAGACGAATTGAATATCAAGTGTTTCACTTAGGCACAAAATTACTGAAATAAATGGACGTTTCACGAGTATTCTAATTAATTTGTTACGACTGAATATTTTTTGTGCTGAATTGCTGCTTAAGAATAAGAACATGCTTGACCTGTCAGCTTTTAAACAAGGCAGTTTGTTTAAAGATGGACTATGTTGACTCATTAGACGGCAAAGTGATATTTTACAGGAGTGTGTTTACTTCCTTTGTAAACAGCATTGGCTGAGTCACCGCCCACGCTTCTTGAACCTCTTAACCGAGAAAGTTGAGATTTTTGTGTGTGTGTGTTGGTTGCCTCTTTTTCTAACAGCTGTGCGCTGCAACGTTGCAGCAGTAGGAAGTGTGCTTTCTGCATGCGCGTTATAAAAACAAAGCGTCGCTGATCAAAGATGCAGTAAGATGTGAACGATGAGTTTTAGCCCGATTTTATAAAACCGCTTCAGGTAAAGGATTAGACGTGTTAGACTCTGTTTCAGTTTTTTCGGGGTCTGACTGTGATTGTGACGGTTTGTCCTCCAGCTGGTGGGACGAGGGACCGTCCCAGGTCAGCCATCTTGAGCCCCGAAGACAATCTTCCCCTGATGATGCCAGGATCACGGAGACACACCAGCATCATGACGTTCCCTGGAAACAATCTGTCAAAGAGCCTCTCGATTAGCAACATCGCAGGGTGAGCCGCTGTCCGTCGTCTGAAGGAAATGTTCACATTTAGGCAGAATGATGACGCAGATCTACTTTTTGTTTTGTTTTTTCTAACCTTTGATCATTTCCCCTTTCAGCCCATTTGATGACATACCCATCAAAGGCCTGCGCTACCTTTCTCAGTCCACAGACTCACTCAACAGAACCAACCAGGTCACAGAATCCATGGAGTCGCTCACTGATGAAGGTCAACACACACACATGCACACACACACACCCTTTTTTCTCCCTTTCCAGTCTTTCCGAAATAAACAAGCACAATTAAGCCCAAAATTTTGACATAAACCAGATTCAGGCGAGGGGTGCTGAATGTTTGAACTGTACTTCAAATTACCATATTTTCCGGACTATGAAGTCACACTTTTTTTCATAGTTTGTCTAGTCTTGCATCTCGTAGTCAGAAGCGACTTACATACTTTTTTTTTTTTTTTTGTCTTTATGTCACTTTTTTTCACTAAAGCAACTTATCTGCTTTAGTGAAAAAAAACAGATATGTGGACTATATTTTGTCCCACTTAATCCGGCTTAAAACAACACAGTTAACTGTTAACAAGACAACATGTCACATTTATTTACGTTGTAGAGATCAGCAGGAAGTTTTTCTTAGGGTTCTTACCCTAACTTTTTCCCATTTATCTTTGGCACACGTTAACCACCACCTGAATTAAGTACCAAGGTTCAGGGTGGGGGTAAGACTAGGGGTTCCCCTTTTCTTTGCTCTGAACGTCCTGAAGCTCTTTAGTTTGGATAATATCTGAAGAATTGAGACCATCACTGTGTTTTTTTATAACATACTTCTAGTATATTGGCATTTTATCAGGAGGCAGTGTTAGAATTTGTCACATAAAATACAGTAATGTTAATGTTTTTTTCTTTTTGTTTTTGTTTTACATCGACTTAAATGGAAGGAAAATCCTCATTATTACGTGTGAATAACTTAAACTTTAGTCTTGTTCGCGATCAGTAGAAGAAGTGAAGGGGGAATGTTGTGAATGGAAGCTGTGCTCCTCGTTCAGGGACAGAGATGATGGACGCGCAGCTCCTGGGGGAGTTTGAGGCGAACGCCAAAGAGTTTGAAGCAGACTCATGGAGTCTGTGCGTGGAGCAGCAGTACCTGCAGCAGCAGAACAAAGAGCTGGTCAAGAGACAAGACGTCATCTACGGTACGACTAAACACATTAGGGGTTCCTCTGGGATTTTTTAAACGGTGCTGTTGGACTGTCCGTGACATGACTGTCATTCCAAACTGAATGTTTTTTGAAAAGCATTTTATTCACCATATTCACGCTGTACAATTGAAATTACAACTCTGTTGTAGTAATCTAGCGGTACAGTTTGCAGTTTGCATACGCCTGTAGGTCTGCGGAGGCTCCTTCATTAAGAATGTCTCATTTTACTTTGCACAGAGCTGATGCAGACCGAGATGCATCACATCCGGACATTGCGCATCATGTCAGAGGTGTACAGCAAAGGCCTGCAGAAGGAGGTGCCGCTGGACCAGCACACTGTGGAGAAGATGTTTCCGGCACTGGACGACCTCCTGGACCTCCACTCACAGCTCCTCCAGCGCCTCCTGGACCGAAAGAGGGAGAGCCAGCTGGAGGGGGGAGGTTCGGAGGGCGGCTTCGTCATCAGCAGGATAGGAGACATTCTGGTCAGCCAGGTCAGAGCAGCCACGGTTTACACCTCATTTTGCTCTGACTTGAATGAAAGTTTAAAGCTTCAATTCCTTTTTTTTTTTTTTCATTATTATTTTTCCATGTCACTGTGAGTTTTGCATATTCAATTTTTCATCCCCTCTCTGCTCTTAGTTCTCGGAATCCAACGGCGAAAGTATGAAGAGGGTTTACGGGAAATTCTGCAGCCGCCACAACGAAGCCGTCAACGTCTACAAGGACCTCATGAACAAGAACAAAAACTTTAAAACCTTCATCAAAGTGAGAATGAGAGTTTTCTTCACACGCTTTACACAGCAGTTGTTTCTCGTCATGTCTTCAGGCTGACGATACGTTTCATTTGAACCTCTCTGCTAATCTGCAGCCTCTCTCTCTCCATCTCTGTTGTTTTTGTGAAGCCCTGTCACTAGTTGTGTGGACACGCTTCTCTAAAAGCACCTCTTGTTCTTTGTTTTCTCCCAGAAAAAGAGAAGTAGCAACACTGTGCGGAGGCTTGATATCCCAGAATGCATCCTGCTGGTGACCCAGCGGATCACTAAGTACCCTGTGCTGATCCAGAGAATGCTGTCACACACTAAAGGTGGGTCACATGTCAGCCTCGTTTAACCTTGGTTACGTTATTTCTTACTGGTGTGTGAAACAGGAGGAGGATCTAAAGTCACTGATTTAAATATAGAGATGCACTGATCAACAATCCTCCTGAGAGATTCAGATCAAAACACTTAAAGGATTTTAAAACAGATTCAAAAGAGAAAATGTTTAATTTGTCAAAGCGTAAGCATTGCTAATTTTCGTCAATTTTTTATGCGTTAGCATAGACGCTGTTGGTTGACGGCACAAAGATGGCTACAGTTTTAATGCATGTAATGAAATGGACATCAACACTTTCAGTATTTAATTTGCCAACCACTGATCAGAACTGAAAAATTGAAATGTGAAACAAGTAAAATGTCAAAGAAAAAAAAATAAATTAAGAAGAAAATGACAAAAATAAAACCAAAACTTTTATCTCCAGTTTTAAAAATGAGTAGGAAGAAGACAAAGCTTACTAAATAGCCTCATCCAAATAGATACATATTTTCACATTTAATTGATTAATTGATCGATGGATCTCGCATATGTTTTGCTTTTGTCATGACGTGGATTTTTCTTTAATTATGTTTTTTTTAAGTTGTGATCATGATCAATGGTGCTGCCATCACTGTTTCCATCATGCATTTTGTTATGAGCAAGTGAATTGCTCATAACAAAATGAGCAACTCATTTTGATATGATGGATGAGAAACGATGCTGGTTACAGGAAGGTTGAATAATAGGTCGATACGACGTGTCAAAGCAGGTATGCTAAATATTTGTGATGAAGTTTCTTTTAGGCACATTAATATAGATATTTAATCTCCACACAAGCTTCGCCTGAATTGTCATAAATGTTATTGTTAGAAACTTTGTACCATTCCTGTATTTTTACTGTACACCAGTATGTCACCTGGTTTAGGGAACGAACAGAAAGGTGCTTTTTTATTTTTTTTTATTTTGTAAATATGATTTATGTGAGCCCATTTATTCTGCAAGGGGGAAAAAGGCAGTAGTTGTTTGTTCGCCGTTTTTCGAGTGGTGGATCAAGCAGAACTCTGAAGAGCCGAAACATTTCACACCGTATTTCTATCTGATTTAAACGAGTTCTCGTCGGCCGGCCTCCTACTGTGTACATTCCCTCTAATCCTTCCCTGGAGCCTCTTTACGCTTCCATGTGGGATGGTGGAGCTCCGACTTAATCCCCAAGGTGATTTAAGCAGACTCCGTTTTTTTTTTTTTTTTTTTTTTGACAACTCTTGTATATATTGAAAAGAAGCAGCAGAGTATCCTCAAAGATTATTTTTCTTTTCCCTTTGCTTCCCTCTACAAGTACACAAAAAAAAAAGCAGGAGCAAAATCTGCTAAATATAGGTCAAGTTGTTACTTAATGTGTCCAAAGCTATGAGCTCAAAGGAGGGCGCGTGATGTTGCAAATATCGACTTTGGATTTTTATTTTTATTTATTTATTTTGACTTCTCATTATGCAGAAATATAACAACTTCACAAACTGTAAGGTGAAAGTGCAGATAACACCAGGCACTTTCAAAAGTATTTATACCAGTTTAACGTGTTTATATTGTTTTCAAATTGAAACGAATTATGTTGGGATTTTCAGTAGCACTTAATATGAAGGGGTGAGCAAAAGACTGACATGACGCTGTCGTAAACACAACACTGTTATAAACATGAATCAGTCTTTAATGTTTATGACTGCTTTCATGAAGTGACATTCGGTCAATAAATGACACTTTTAATGAATGCAAAGACGCATCAAAGTGTCATTATTACAGAATAATGTGCTAAATTGAACGGACTTTTAATGCAACTTTGCATTAATCCGTAAATAATGACACTTTTAGTCATCAAAGATGCATCACTGTAAATTCCACTAAAAGCTGAAGTGAGGTCTGAACACGTTGGCCGCCTCCCCTCCGCAGACATGGACGAGGACTACGTCGACCTGAGCGAGGCCATCCGGTTGGTGAAGGAGGTGATCGCCGCCGTGGACAGCAAAGTGAACGAGCACGAAAAGAAGCGGCGCCTGAAGGAGTTCCACAGCCGCATGGACAGCAAGTCCATGATGTTTCTGAAAAGCGGCCAGTTCTTCGCCAGGGAGGATCTGCTGAGGCGGAAGCTGATCCACGACGGAGCGCTGCAGCTGAAGAACACACAGGGAAGACTAAAAGGTGAGCATTCAGACAGTCATGTACTTTTTTTTTTTTTTGTCATCACCAACAAGACGTGATCGGTTTATGTCCTGTTGGTCTTCCAGACGTTCAAGCTCTCCTGCTATCGGACGTTTTGGTCTTCCTTCAAGAGAAGGACCAGAAATACGTCTTTGCCATGATGGTAGGTTCTTACTTGCATCTTTTTTTTCTTCTTCTCTCTCTCCCCTCCTCTCCCCGCTCTCCCTCCAGTAATAAACATCAGATCCTGTGTTCTTGCTGTTAGCAGTAGCTGCCCCCGTTTTTTGCGAGTAAAGGAGCGTCCGCCTCCCACTCGCACGCTAGCTTGAACCTCATAAAGCCGATGCGGCTCCGGGCTCCTGACCCAGCTGCGATAAATCATCCGGGGTTTTCAGCTGGGGCTCGTCCCGTGTTTACAGGACTCCCAGCTTCGTGCCGTGGCACATGCTTTTCTGTCGCACATTAGAGGGATGAAAACAGAGACGGAGCCTGCAGCTGGATAATCGCATCCATCAGTAAAGCTAGAGAGAGCTGGGGTCGGGTTGGGGGGGTGATGATGGCGCTGAGAGGAAAACATCCTGAATGAGTAGCAGGTAGTAGAGCAGGGTTTCAGGTACAGACTGAAGAATGAGGAGCTGTTTTAAAAAGTTGATAAGAATCAAAGAGTGAAGGTAATGAATCCTGGAGGTCTTCCCACAAAAAGGTTTTACGTGATTCTGCAAACAGAGGAATATTCTCTGAGGTTTTAGACTTCGAAGCATCGAGTACTAACTCGATCATCTGTGTTTGAACAGTGCATTTTTTTATCTACTAAACAACCAACTTGTAAAGTTAGCAGTGGTAAATCGCAGCTTTTAGATTTTTTTACAATGCACTAGAGCTTAAACAATGAATCAGATTAATTGTGATGAATCAATTACTCAAATAATCGTCAACTAATTTAGTAATCAATTAAGCATTAGAATGAACACTCAACATCATTAACTCTATGTGTCTATCTGATCTATCTATGTATATATCTACGGACAGCTCTGGAAACAATGAAGAGCCCACTGCACTGAACCCACTGAAAACCTCGTTATTCCACCAAATATTGATTTCTGAGTTAAAACATTAGTATTGTTATTTCTAACTTTTTCTTTGCATTACTTGAGGTCTGAAAGCGCTGCATCTTTTTCGCTATTTTGACCATTTCTCATTTTCTGCAAATAAATACAGAATTTTCGCTTGGAATTTTGGAGACATGTTGTCAGTAGTTCTTAGAATAAAAAGAACAATGTTCATTTTCCTCAAACAAGAACTGATCATTTATATATACGTGTCTATATATATATATATATATATATATATATATATATATACACACACACACACACACTCTTGACCTTTGTCCTTCCTCTTTGCTTCACTTGTTTTTCCTTTACAAATAATTAACCCCCTCCCCTATTGTCTTCCCTTGGTGTTTTTCCCATCCTCTCTCCCTTGACCCTCCCACTCCCTCCTTTCTTTCTTTCCTTTTTTTTCCCCACTCTCCTCCCACGCTGGCTTCATCAAACCCTCCCTGTTTTTTTTTGTTTGTTTTTTTTTCCTTTTCTCTTTTTCTCATCCCCCTTGTCTCCCTAAAGGACCAGCGCTCCACGGTCATCTCCCTCCAGAAGCTGATCGTCCGGGAAGTCGCCAACAAGGAGCGCGGCCTCTTCCTCATCACGGCGGGCACCGAGAAGCCGGAGATGATGGAGGTGCTGGCCAGCTCCAAGGAGGAGCGCAACACCTGGATGCAGCTCATCCAGACCGCCATGCAGTCCATGTGAGTGGGATTCATTTAGATTTCTGCTGTGGCTTGTTTTTATTTATTTATTTATTTATTTATTTATTGTATCCCACCATCCAACTTCTATTTAAAGCTTATTTTTCTCTTCTCAAAACATATCTTAATCTTCTCTTTATACTTCTACTTGTAACTCTGCTGTGAACAAGCTCAGGTTTGCCCTCTGCTCTGCGGTATAAAGCCAGGGTGAGACTTTTTTCCAGTTTTTTTTTTTTTGTGTGCTTTTTTTCATGATAATGCACGCAAAGTTGGGACAAAGCACTGTGCTGCCAGGAGGATTAGCTGCTCTCTACCTGGGGATGGGATGTACTCCGGGTCCATCTAATGCTGGATTGGCTGCGAGGGCAAGCTCTCTTATAAGCAGAGGATTATTCGAATGCAGCCAGTGGTTGGGGGGCTGGGGGGCGAAGGGACGAGGGGAGAAGAAGGAAGAGATTTAGCACTCCGTCTCACTCCCCTCCCGGTCCCGACTTCTGTCGGAATACAAAGCTGAAATCAAGCCATTGGCAGGAGATGAGAACAAAACTCGATGAGCGCGCCCGTCTTCTCTCCGAGTTATGCATATGAATGGGCTCTCCACGAGATAAGGCTGGAGCTTTTTTTTTTTTTTTTTTTGTAAATCCTCCGTGGGAGGAAAAGAAGTTTGGAAAATGTCGTAAATGAGAGGAAGTTATTAAGTAATTTCTCAGAGGTGAAGTCGGCGGGTTTTACTTCTGTTTTTAACGGGTGTTTGTGTCGTTTAACAGGGAGTTTGCTTATATTTGATTGTCTTACCTGAAATTTCACCTTCACATTAAATAAATAATAATTAAACAAGTGACCTTTTTCGGATTTTAATCTTTTTTTTTTTTTTTTACTTTCCGTGTCCACACAGGGAGAAAGACGAGGACGAGGGGATCCCCAGTGAGACGGAAGACGACAAAAGACAATTAGAGAGCAAAGCCAAAGAGATGAGAGGTGAGGAGAGACACATCAGATGTTCTTCCTTTGTGAAAGGAAAAATGCTTTATTTCTTTTTTTTCTTTCCTCCCCCACTTCCACCTTCAAACACTCTTTGTCTGTTTCCGCCGGGCAGATATGTTGAAGCAGAAAGATACGGAGATTATGTCTCTGCTGGAGGAGAAGGTGCGGCTCTTCAGGGAGATGTGGGAGGGCTTGAGCCCAGGCGAGGAGGCCTGCAGGCAGGTCGAGCCTTTCTTCCGGTCAGCCTGCAGCCAGGAGCCGCCTCAGGGGGCGTCCATCATGAAAGACGCCCTGCAGGAAGGTGAGGCGGAGAGGAAGTAAAGATTGGAGGTTTTTTTTTTTTTTTTTTTTTAAAAATGCATCTTTCATTTGATGTTTTGGGTTTTGAAGCCGGGCAGAGGGGAATGCCGCGCAAG